CAGGTAAGGAATCTTAGGTCCTTTTTAAAATTCGTTCGGCAATTCTCGGATTTTCCAGCCTCAAAAGTGTTCCATTACGTGGCAGCTTATAAAATGCCTTACTCAAGATGTAAACGACATCCACTAATTTTCTATAATCTAACAACACCATCCATTTCTTACCATAAGGAAATTTGTTGTGCAAGATAATTTTTTATAAAGTCATGCTGTCCACTGTTTTACAAGTTGATTTCCACGAAGATCATAAAAGTCGTTTTTCCAGTATTTTAACCACAGCACTGGCTGGGTCTGTGGTTTTTATTCCAGTTGCCTTGATCCTATCTTATAAATCAGAGCGACAATTACAACCCTCCGGCTCGTAGGCAAGATAACCTGGTCAAATGAAAACGTGACTAATGTAGTCAGCGGTGTAGCTCCATATTGTACGATTTGTCTAGGGATTTTATGGTGTATTTCACGCGGTCCTGTTGACTTTTCAGCGTTTAAAGTGTTTATGGGTTTTATTATGTCTTATTGGTCAAGATCCATAGAGAGTAACCGATTTGGTGATTTTGTATTTTGGTTTATTCCTTCGTTGAGAATAGACTCTCGAGTTGGGACTGTTCCGAAGTAATTAACCACGCCTTCTGCTTTGTCCTGGTCTTCCTGGTAGTTTTTTTTGAGTGTGCGTGTAAGAAATTTTGTTACACTCAAGCCTACTACTCGTTTCTAGACATAGAGGTGTAGATGGCAAGTTATATGATATCAGCTGGTAGAACCTAATCACTGTTGTTGAGATACTTGGAGAACAGTTGGTCATAATCTTACGTGATCTACTCTATCAACAATTACTTGATAAGTACTCTGAGGTATACCAAACTCTGTCGGAATCGCCGTGTATTACCAGCAATATTACACACTATATCACGACCACAGGACTGTCTGTATTCTTGAAAACGAGCCGACGAACTCTCAGGGAGCTTAGGTTGGCTAAAACCGAATTCGATCACATGATAGACTTAGGAGCCATCAAACAGCCCATCAGCATCTCCCTTGCATATGGTCCCTAAAAAAGACATCAACGACAGGTTTCCAAATGGTGACCGTCAGCGGTTGTATGAGAAAACTATTCCTTATCGTTACCTGTTGACTCATATTCACGATTCCACGGCTGCCGTGAAAGGTGTAACCATTTTTTCCGAAAATCAACATAGTTAAAGCGCATAACCCAATCGCCATTGCTACTGACGACATTCCTAAAACCGCTATCATCACTCCCATCGGACTCTACGAATTTTCGCTCGTGCCCTTCGGCCTAAAAACTGCTTCACAAACCTTCCAGAGATTCACAGATGGGGTTTTTCGTGGTCCCAACTTCGTACATGTGTACGTTGATGACTGCTTTATTGCAAATCGGGACAGCAAATCTCATCTCCAGTATATGGACCCTGTCTTCAAACGACTACAATAGCACGGCATTACTGTAGATACTCAGAAATGTCAAATCGGCACGGACTCAGTAGATTTCCTAGGACACACTAATAATGTTTAAAGCATCCGACCTCTGAAAAGCAATGTGGAAGTTATTATTGATTACCCAGAACCGACGAAAATCAAGCGACCATACATTTTCAACGGTCCAGCAAGTTTTTAGCGATGGTTTTTACCAAATTGACCGTCTCTTATGAGACCTACAACCAACCATTTTCATGGAAATGCAAAATCCACCAATTTGGACGGCATCGCGAAAAAAGTATTCTTCATAGTTAAAGAAGTCATTGCCCAAGCAACGTTGCTCTGATACCAGGATGCCAAAGCACCCGTTAGTATCTCAGTGACCCATCCGACTGGGTTAATCACAACTGACGAAGTTTGGCATTGGTTACCGAACACTGAATCGATCTATAGCACTTTCGGGAGGGAACTCCTAGTTATGCATTGTTCCGTACAACACTTTCAACACTCTGTTGAAGACTGAGAATTCACTCTATTCGCCCATCAAAAGCCTCTTACCTTCTCTTTAGGTTCATCTTCAAACAAGTAATCCCATTGAGAGTCTCGACTATTGATCTACATTTCTCATTTTACTTCCTATACAGCAAATTTCTTGGACAAAGAAGTCATTAGCAGACGCCTTGTCTCACATAACTTCCTTGAACGCTCTCCGATGGATTGAACTTCTTAAACTCGCTAAGCTTCAAAAAGAAGACACTTATCTTCAGCATGAACTATCTTCAACAACCCTAAAATTGCGTACTAAACAGATGGGTGCAGGTAAGGTAACTTTACTACGCGACACATCTGCAGGTATGGATCGTCTAATCGTGCCTAAATATTATTGACGTAACGTCTTCAATATGTTGCACAAACTTTCTCATCCATGTGTTCGTATATGCATTATGCTCATAGCAGAACGCTTTTGCTGGTATGGTATGAATAAAGATGTCAGGGACTAGGTAAGCTCTCGTGTAAGCTGTTCAAGATATAAGGTAAATAGACATAACAAATGTCCCTTAAGCTCTTTCAAAACTCCCGACGCTCGTTTTGATCATGTTCATGTGGATTTGGTGGGACCCTTACCAGATTCAAATGGATACTCTAGTCTTTTACCCTGCGTGGACCGTTTCACTCGATGATCAGCTGATGTTTTCATTCAACCTACCCTACGATATAGTACACATGCCTTTGTATGTAACGACTCACTTCGGTGACCTTTCAGATGGTTAATTCCTCTATATTTGACTCCAATAAATAAATAATATCCCGTTAACTGAAAATGTAATGCAGGCTAAATCTCCAAGTAGCATCATGGATTTACTGGAGATTATTCAAAAGCCTGAACACCAGAATATAGATATAGTTTACTGTTAAACACTGCTCAAGTACTCAAGCGTACAGAGAGCAAGCACACAGGAAAACAAGTCAGTATGTGCGTATGTCAGTGATTTTTAGGAATACATAGGTATTTATGAGTGTTAGTGGATTGTGGATACCTCATTGATTGTCATTTACTTGCAATCAATGAGAGAATAGACTAGGGATTGATGTGGAGACATACACTCAATCAAACTTACACTGAACTTACATAGTGGATTAAAAGTATAAACTGTAGCAAGCCTATAAATAATACAATAGTTGAATGGGCTCGCCACAACCTCTCGAAACGGCATACCAGGGACTCTCCAAATTCTTTGAGCGTAAACCTAAGTACTATACAATGGAAAAGAACAAAGTTAATGATAACATCAGCATCGATCGTCTCAAAGCTGCGTATTTAGAAGGAAAACCTGTTCATATCCATTTTCCTTTGGTACAAACGAAAGACACGAGTCTCACAGTTAAGACACCTCACCCAATAATCTACAATAACTATGACACATTGGCGGTATCTGATAACGGATTCACAACAACGAGTTCTGGAACAAGAGTAAGGTTCCAAGAACACCTAAACTACTTACCACTTTGTTTCGTCTCAATTTTTCTTTGTATTATTTCAAAAAAGCAAAATACAGAAGAACAGTTTTAATATGCTTAAATATGTATTTATTCCAAAAAACTCAGTTTATGTTACCAATATGGTCGCTTATATGTGCATACTTTTACTTTTTAAAAACCCTAAAAAACATCCTGAAAAAACCCTTTTTTCCATGCTATTGCGTGTTTAAGAAACGCGTTCACATAAGTTTGTTTTCTTTTTTCTCCCACTTTGTGTAATTCGACATACACTTACACATCCTTTCGTTTTCCATTCAAGGATGACCGGAAAAGGCGGAAAAGAAACGACGAAGTTTTCGAGGAATCGAAATATTCATTGTGCCTGTTTTTCATCACTAAATTGTACCACCCTTATAGTAAGGAAAGACGATCAGATGCTGCTAAACAAAGCAGGCTATCAGAAGAGTGTTTACCAACAACAAACTCACTGGATATGAAGTGTAATTAAAATAACTCAAAGTGTTATGAATAAAAAAAAGAGAATTCAGCGAAGAAAATTTTTCTTTTCCACGAAATCATTTACCTAAGCTGTACATTCGTATATATAGTTATACGGAAAATATGTCTACAGGAGGTAAGGAAAGATCGCACTATAAATTTATTCGATAATAAATAACAAGTGGGGTTACGTACTAATAAAGGGGTAGGGATGAAAATAACTTATGGGTTAGATAGTCCAATTGACAGATATGAAGAAAAGCGACAAACACATAGGTCATAATAATAGATTGAATAATAATCAAGAATACTTGTATAAGGTTATAATACTAATAACTGATTAGAGTCTAAAACGTGAAGCAGTAATTTAAAAACAAAAAACCAATAATAATCAAATAAAAGTGCAGAAAAGAACGACAACCAGAAACATACCCTTTAAGGGAATTAGGGCCAAGCAAGGGTGAGATGTTGGAAAAATCGTTTTTGCACTCAAAGTTCAGGATTGAGTTCGTGAACTGCCAATGCTTCAACAATGCATAAAATATTGATTCGATCACCTATCGATCCGGTTCCTTTGACTTTGTAGATTGCTTTAAAAGAGGAGTCTTTTGGAGAGATGTGTCCACAGTTAATTAAATGCTCTCGTATCGAGCTAGTTATCTTTTTACATTCTCCTTTTAAGAGCCAAGCTGGGCAGTGTTCGGACATGCGTTTGGAAAGTGAGCGCTCTGTGAGGCCTAGGTAGGTTTTGGTAGGCCACGTCTTAGGGTCATCACTACCCCATTAGAGGGGAGTGACCTTGAATGTTATTCCTCGACCACTCTTACCCTCAAATCAATTGTTTTTCCTTCAGTTTCCAGGAAGAATGCAACATGAACCATGTATTTCCACTATCAAATTGTTCTTTTAATACCCAGACACAAGTTTCAAGAAAAACAGACAATTCGCCTAATTTTCTAAGTTAGGTTGAAACTGAAGTTTATAATTTGCATTGTTCAGCGGGAAGACGATCTCTTCAAGGCCACGTTACTGTATTCTCTTCACGTGGTGATTACTAGTTTCACGTTCTAGGTTTTGGATATTACAGGATGGTCAAGAAATGCCTAAGTAAGTTATAGTTATTAGTATTACTCTGCCTGTAGAAAACAAGAGTAAGCGCGTAACCTGTCACAAGCGATACAAAATTATCAAGAAGGTAAATTCATAGATGTTTGTTCAAATACTTGTTAGGTTAAAGAGCATCACCGCAAGTTACGTAAGGAAGCTAAGAAGAACTTAAACCGACACCGTAGGTTTGATTTTTATTTTCTAATGATTTCAGGAAAGGATCCTGGTGTCCCTAACATTCTACCCTTCAAAGAAAGTTTTCTGAAGGATGTTGCCGAAGCAAAAATGAAGGTAATGTATACTATCTTTAATGAATGGTTTAGCTAGAAGAAGCAAGACTTAAAAATATAGAGTATTCGCAAACTTATAAGTCTCAGAAACATGAAGATGTGGCTCATTCTATAGTTCAGCACGATGTTAAAGATGTTATAAACCAGTCTGACGTTATATTGGAAGTATTGGATGCACGAGATCCAATGGGTACACGCTGTCCAGAAATAGAAGAAATTGTTCTTAGGGAGAATAAACGTTTGGTCCTGCTCATCAATAAGATTGGTAAGTGTTATCTAGGTAACCGTTTTAGACCTTGTTCCGCGATCCAATCTCGAGGCTTGGGTAAATTATCTACGCAAAACTCACACGGTCATAACATTCAAGGCAAATACGCAACGTCAGAGTAACCATCTGTCATGTGGAAAACCATACCTTCTCAAAGATGGAAAAATGTAAGTATTCAAAGTTTTAATTTGTTCAGGCCAACTAAAGGGTTCGGAACTTCTGAATTATTGTCTTTGCTTGCAAACTACTCCCGTGATCCAAGCTCCAGTCTATCTAACACTAACGCTCGTCTTAGCTTGACTGTTGGTGTTGTCGGCCTTCCGAATACTGGCAAAAGCGCACTCATAAATACACTTAAAAGGCAAAAAGTGTGCATCAGCGGTAATGTTCCTGGTCTAACACGGTAGTTGTTGGTATTTCTTTGATTATGGATTTAGTCAGTCTCAGCGTGTACGGATTGACAAAAACCTATTTCTTCTCGATACTCCGGGTACCTTGGTTTCAAAGTCATCTGATGCTTCAGATCTTGTGTTAAAAAACTGCGTAAAAGTACGTGACACTTAGTTTTCTTGCTAAAATTTCGTTTTTGGAATGTTGTTTTACATTAACTAGTCATGACCAATGTATACAAATGTGGGTCAGACCAGGTAACTATACTATTTAACAGGACGAGATGAAATTACAAATTGCAGTCGATATAGTGCTTGTATCATTATTCATTCGTTGGACCGGAACATCAAATTACGTACTAATTCTCCAGGATAGCAGCTTACCTATTTAAGGGTTAGAATCAACAACTACGGTACTGCATCTAAGCCCTTGGTTTTCTAAAGAAGGTTAGAGTTTCCTGTAAAACTCATTTTTATCACATTTGAGCTGGAGTCAGTGGGAGTATAAGTAGAAACAAAAAATAAGCAACGGCGTCATTTTACAATGCCAGCTACTGACAAACCTGCAATGGACATGATAAGGACATCGGAAAGTAATTTTCCACCAAATTTAGATCTGGTGTCTACACATTGAAACATAATTCTATTCATTACATTAAGATAACAGTTTTTATTGGATTTTATATGTCAACATTAGACAATACATAATAAACAGCGTTTCATTCTGGTGGGATATTTTCAACAAGATTAGTTTCATACCTGTCAGTACTTTTTGTTATCCACAATACAGGTTTTTAAATCAATTTTTAAAAGTAAAAAGATAGTGTTTACCACTTCATATTTGTGAAATCACTTAGGATGCTAGCTTGTCACCAGTTGTTCCGTTGTGGTTAGCATTATCAATACGTTTTATTAGCAGCTAATAATTTTTTAACTGTTTTTTAAACTTTTTAACAGCCAGAAATGCTCTCTGATCCTGTTCCAGCTGTTGAAGCCATATTGCGTCGTTGTTCACAAGCGCAATTGGTTTCTAAGTATAAGATTGAAGAGTACAATAATGTTTCAGAGTTCCTAGTTAAGTTAGCACACCGTTTGGGTCGAATGAAAAAGGGTGGTATTCCAGACACGACCATGGCAGCGCGTTCTGTAATTAATGATTGGATTATGTAAGTAACTTGTTACTGTGACATTCTTTTTAGTGGAAAAATCACTTACTACACGGAGCTTCCATATACTAATACTGCGAAAGAAAATCTCGATTTATCTTTAGAAGGTAAGTTAATATTTCCTACAAAGCAGTGTGAATTTCCCAACATAAAAATCATTCGTTCCTAAGCGTTCCTAAAATTCACCGTCGTCGTTTATTTTTTAAAGCAGCTTTCGTATTAAAAATTTTTTCGAGTTTAGAAATATAATTTTCTTAAAAGTGATGCGATGCCCATCTCTGCCGCAAATTGGTACGTTCGTGCTCTGTAGTGATCATTTGTGACTTTGACTTTAATACTGGATTTAGCTACTTATATCCTCTTCTTTTCCCTACCCTACTTACTTATTCCTGTTACCCCTTGAGGGATCATAGGTCACCGACCAAGATTCTCCAACGAACTATGTCTTCAACTCACCTTTCCAGTTGTTTTCAATCGCCATTCATTCTTTTAATGTCTGCTTCCGATTCCCGGAGCAATGTGTTCCTTAGTCTTCATCTTTTCCTTTTGCTTCCAGGACTCCAGGTTAGCACCTGCCTTATGATTTTCACAATCTGTTTCCTATCCGCCTCCAACATCTTTCCTTAACTTCCCCTTCATGTGGAAGCTGATTTGTTATCTGATATATTATGTCGTTGCTGATGATATCCGGCCAACAGACACTAAGTATCTTGCATACACAATTGTTCAAAAGTAGCTGTACCATTTTGATGATGGTTGTAGTAGTCCTCCATGTTTCAGCTCCGTACAATGGGACCGTTTTGATGTTTGCATTGAAAATTCAGACTTTGATGTCTGTTGACAGACAGTTGTTTTGAGTTTCAGATGTTCTCCAGTTGTAAGAATGCCGCCCTCGTTTTGCCAATTCTCGACTTCACATCTTCATCAGATCCTCCTTGTTCATTGACTATACTGTCCAGAGTATATAAAAGTTTCCATATTTTCTCTATCAATTCAGTCAGTCAGTCAGCGACAACGTACGACCAGGCACTTATATGCATCGGTCCAAGTTGCCATACTTCGTTAGCACAACAAGAGGAACACCGGATTCATAGAAGTAATTAATTTAGTGGTGGTAGTATATAAAGAAAGGTTGTATATAACGATATAGTATAGGAAGAAAAAAAAGTTATGAAGCAATTTTAATCTCAAGGTTTAAGGGAAGACAAAGAGTGTATACACCTACGCCATTGTGATCGATTCTGAGCCATGTCACCCAGAGTCTCCAGCCATTTATTACGATAGTCACGCGGACCCCAACCAGGTAGTTTGCATCTACCAACATGGCTCAGACTAGAAGTTTGTGACTTCAAGCACTGATGCCATGTTTTAATTTGGCTGCCCTAACTCTATCATGTGTGATTGTGTTGGTGTTCTCTGAGTTGTATTCCAGGATCATGGTTTTTTCCATTGTGTATATTAAAACCTATTGCTGTTGATACATTGGCTATATTCACTTACATTTGCTGCTGTGTATGGGGTCGGAGGGTAATTTATCTGTGAAGTTCAAATAATCTAGCTGCATCCAAACTGTCTATTGTATTACGCGCTTCCCTTGAGACATGGTGGTCTTGATAATCCAGTCAACCATCAAAAGAAAGAGAAAGGGCGAGAGTAAACAGCCTTTTCTGAATCATATACTCGCTTGGAATGTATCTGTGAGCTGCCCTGTATGCACAACTTTGCAGTGTAGTTCGTCCGTCATATGAATCCCGTCTTTTATTGATGATCGAGATACAACGAATTGTTGAAGAAGGCTTCATAAGGTTCTCCTATCCACACTGTCAAACGCTTTCCCATAATCAGGGAAGTTCAAGTATGGTGACGAGTTCCATTCAATTGATTGTTCAACAATGATGCGTAATGTTGCGATTAGGTTGGTACGCTTAATACAAAGTTACCAAAGTATATCATTTTTATATTGGACCAGCGTGTTTAAACACCTCATCTGTGTTTCTAAGTTATCCAGCTTCTTATTAAAACAGACAACAACACATCCGTGCACAAATATGCGTTGGCCCAAGTTTCGATACCGCATTAACACGACAAGAGATAAAAATAATAACGCAATAAAAATTCTAATACGAAAAACAAAAAAAAGTTTTCATGAAAGAATATTGAGATTCATGATCGATTGGAAGATAAAGAATGAATGCATCTACATCATCGCGAATGATTCTGAGTCATGTTGCCCAGTCTTAAACAACTAATAGCCGTTGTTACACGGACCCCAACCAGTGAATCTGAGTCAAATCAACAATTAGTGTTTTCATAGACTGATACCATTTCCTAGTTTGGTCGCCCCTGGTTTTTTTCCAAACTACTACTATTCCATTAAATATCGCCCGTCAAGGTAGGTTGTGGTCAGCCATTATTGACACATGTCCTAACCACCTCAGTTGATGATTCACCATTTCATCAACGGATTTGCCACACCTTCCAAATATCATGCCTAACTTTAAAGTTGCTCACTCTGCCATTCCGCGCGACCCAAATAATGTTTCGATTAAAGACTAGGTATTAACATATAGCCAGCTATTAAGTCATTGTTAAGGACACTTCTCATCTACCAAAGGAAAATGCACCGACTCCAATGTTTTGGGGTGTATTGTGCAAAGCAGTTAACTTATCATGATTCCTATAAGTTTCCTAATTGTATTTACAAGTTTGTGAGACATGAGTTTTTAGTTTTTAAATGCTTTCTACTTCGTATTTTTCAGACCATGCAATGGATATCTCTGAATTTCCGACAAACTAATAGATGTAAATGTTTAGAAGTGTAAATATAACATTAATTTAATGTATTTTGCTTTGACTGGTAAAGATTGATTTTCAATTAAAGTTGTTAAATGATAGATAATCGCTGCAATCCTGGGAAAAGTGCACTTATATTCGTTTCCACATGGTCCTTTTTTTTCTTATGTGATTAGATTTCTTTCATTATTAGCTGCATTTTAGGAGACTGTTGCTAACAATTATTATATAAGATTAATAGGTGGTGGATTCTGGTGTATTTCAGTTGTGATTTTCATCCAACTGCGACTAGTTCATGATGCGAGTTACCTTCAGAAGTCATTACTCAGTTAGTCAGTCACAGTGTAGAACTTCTTACATCAGTTCGAGCTGCCATACCACATTAGCACAGAGATGAAGTTGTCGATTCAAATCACATAGTGGTAGAAGTAGTAAGAGTATAAACATCATGTGAAAGATTAGGGTTTGAAGATGTTATTGAAGGAGTATAATACAGTGAGATAAATTTGAAAAGAGGAAAAGAAAGGGACATGAAGAATTCAGAAGATTAGGATTTAGGAGAACACAGTGAATGCACCTTCGCTATTGCAAACCATTTTGAGCCATGTCATTCAAGGTCTCTAACCATCGGTTGCTATGATCTCGCAAATCCCAACCAGGTAGTATACACCTACCAACATGGCCCAGTCCACTTGTCAGTGACTTCATGGAATTGTGCCACGTTTTGATCTGGCCGCCTCCTAGTTTCACTACTTCATCAATAGATTTGCCATCATTACCTAATATCCGTTTCCTAATAACCGCATTATTTGCAGCTAGATATGAATAATTGATGTGATTCTAGCGATGGTAACTTCAGCAGATAAATGAGTTAAGCTCGTGAATTCCGAAACCCTAGTAATTTTGAAGTGCGATTCTACGTATTCGACTGCATTTGGGTTATATTGTGTGTATATGAACCAATATTACGAGTTGGTTCCTAAAACTGAAGTCAGTGTGCATCTCGACATAAAATGAAACTAACGTTATAGACCATATTATCGGTATCGAAATTTAACTAAATCCTTATATTTCTAAAGCCATCGTCGATTGTTTTTTAGATATTAGAAATTATTATTCTTAATGATTTTGCTTTTGTATCTCATCTCGACTGTACCAGTTATGGTACCTTAAAATTATACTGTTTTAAAGGTCGATTAGATAAGGGATAAACAAGTATACTATTAATAATTTAAATAAATAATTATTATATATACAATCGCTAGTAAGGTTTTATAAACAACTGCATTTCCAAAGCTTTTCAACAACCTGTATAATAAGATACTTGAACTGTTTCGTAGTTAGTGATAAAAGTAAACCTCTGGGCCTAGGTTTCTTGCTCATTGTGATTCGTCAGCGTAGCGTACCTACAGTCTCAAGGTGTGGTATTCCTTTCGGGAATCAAATCTTCGTCGTATAGCTTCACAGCTATTTGGGCCGCGACAGACTTCCAAGACTGAGATATTTATAACCAACTGATAACTGTTTAGTAATCAGTGTCACATTAATCCAATTTTTTTCTGCCAATAACATTCTACTGGCTGAGTTACAATAGGAACTTGATCAAAACAGGTGTTAAGAAACTGGGAAGGAAATAGTAGTAGCTTCTTGTTAATATGTGGAAAAACACAGAATTAACATCCGTCTTTCTGCTGTGCTTAGTTATTTATACGGTTCGTTAGGATGTGTCTAACACTATAAATTTTTTAATGTAACTACAGCCAGAAAACCATAGACTGAATGGTTGTACTGTCTATAGGGCCATTGGTATTGATCGCGTACGTAGTTCAGTCACTACATCCGGATATTTACCCTCAAGCATTTGACGATTGTTCTGTTTTTAGAGCACGTAGGTCCTATACTGAGATGAAGCGGCTCTTCGCTTTTCAAGTTTAGTCCATGATAAATGCTTTTAAGAAAATATGTAGTTTGAAAACCATGATAAGCATCTCTACTTTTATGCAGAAAAGCCCCCAAATGCCCTGGTACGGCCGAGAGTGGGGAGAGTCCGCTCTCCCTCTCGAAATGCTCTCACATGGCCGCGCGTATATAGCTCCTGCCAGGGAAGTCCTACTCACTGCCTTCTCGTGGCGATGTTGTTTACGAAAGTGAGAGGACGAAAAGCGAATGTCCGGCTCTTTAACCGGGTTGGTGGATATGATGGATCCACCTAGGGGAGTTGGAAAACCCTGATTCCAAACCAATGGTGCACATGGGCTCCAGTATCCTGAAGGAACAAATGGCGAATGAACCAGCTATTAGTCACCTGGCTACCACGGGACTGCATCTCCTCACTATGCTCCACTGCCTTGTGGGTTAGACCTCTAGGTCAAAGGCTCGGGGTGTGGCCCCCTAAGGAATCCATCTGCTTCGCTTTGGGCACCCGGGCAGTATCACAGCCCTCTCGCAAATAAATGAAATGGAACATCCAACTGACAATTATATTCTCGTTCATACTAGAAACAAATCAATTTGCATTACTACTACTACTATTATTATTATTTACCATATCGCTAACTCACCCCCATTTATCCCCAATTTGTGTAACCTTACTTTTCAACTTATGCAGCAGCTCGCTCTTGGTGGAAAATCTGTCCTATCTAAACGATCTCCATTCACTGTCTGGTTGAAAGTGAATGCTTCCACCGATTATGAATACTGAAGCAGTATTTGTGAAACCACGTACGCCGTTCAAGCTGACTTTCTTCAACGTTCGCACACTAATACAGATCAGACAACAGATAGGGCTGGCTATGTCTTTAGAAGGTCTTAATGTTGACGTTTCTTGTCTATCCGAGACCCGTATTCAAAACTAGTGAAGTACAACAAATCCGCTCTCCATCAGTCGCCTCGAAAAGCTTGTTTCACGTGCGCTTATCCGGGGACCCTGTGGCATCTTTGTCTGGTCTTGCTGGCGTTGGCGTCGCACTAAGCGCTAGGGCTGAGGCAGCACTAATCGATTGGATCCCCATTAACAGTCGGTTATGTGCTGTTAGATTAGAAAGTTCCATCAAAGTGAGAAGAAATCGGTGTCTTTTCGTCATCTCCGCCTATGCGCCGACAGATTGCAGCCCGGATGCAATCAAGGATGAGTTTTACCATCAGTTAACAGTTCTCCAGAAAGCGCGTTCGACAGATATTGTAGTACTAGCCGGAGACTTGAATGCATAGGTTGGGCGTCTAGGCAAAGAAGAGAGTCGTTTAGGTGGCCGATGGGGACTTGTTGGTCGCAGGACAGATAACGGGGACCGTTTGCTGCAACTGCACAGACCACAACCTGTTTCTGGCTAGCACTAACTTCCGGCACAGTCATCGCCGGTGTGCCACCTGGCGTCCTCCCTCTGCATCCCAAGCCTGGACTCAAATTGATCACATCGCGATCAGCTACCGCTGGCGTGGTTGTGTACAAGACTGCCGCTCCTTTTGGAGTACCTATCTGCAGTCTGATCATGCCCTGGTCTGCGCCAATCTCACCTTACTTTTCAGTGGCCGAAGGATTGACCACCACCAACGGATCGATGTTAGTAAACTGGCTGCAACTTCCGTTGCAAGTAAGTATCGAGCGGAGCTAGCTTGTAGGCTAGCTACCATCCCACCGAAAAGTATAGATGAGCATTGGTTGCATCTTCACGACGCCATGAAAATGGCGAGTAAAGCCGCTTGCGGCTTCGTGAAACGTCCCGCCTACAAGCACTGGGTTTCTTCTGGCTCCTTACAACTGATGGGAGCCCATCCGTCTACTCCGGGTGACTGTATGACCACAAACGAAAACTTACGTAATGAAATCGGGCAAAGCTTGCGTAAAAACCGAGAAGCCGGGTGGTCGTAGTGTGCTAATGAGATGGAAGCAGCAGCTGCATCTGGTAACTGCCGGAAGCTCTTCCAACTCATCCGAGCCACTGGCAGCAAGAAATCTGGTGTGAGTGAAACAATCTACGAGGATGACGGGATGTCAATCACTAACATCTCTCGACGTCTTGGACAATGGGCGGAATTTTTCGAAGGGAAGTTCAACTGGCCTGCTGTCCCGGCAACATCAACCAGTTTGTCAAGCCCCCCATGGCCGGTGACGACTGATCCACCAAACGAGACGGAAGTCCACAAGGAACTCCAACTCTTGAAACGTTACAAATCACCTGGCCCAGACGACTTACCTCCGGCCCTTTTTAAAGATGGTGGTGACATTCTGACTAAGGAATTGACTGTGTTGTTTGCAAAGGTTTGGGAGCAAGAAAGTGTTCCAACATCATGGAATGAGTCGATAGTCATCCCTATCGGGGGATAAGTCTACTTCCGATTGCGTCCAAACTATTGGCTTCTATCATTCTTCGTAGGTTGTTTAAAACCCGAGAACGATTGACTCGCGAGGAGCAGGCTGGTTTTCGTTCTAGTCGAGGATGCATTGATCACATCTTCACCCTCCGCTAAATGTTAGAACACCGTCATACTTATCGCAGGCCGACAATCGTAGTGTTTCTTGATATCAGGGCTGCCTTCGATTCGTTGGACAGGACTGTTCTCTGAGATTGTCTATTGAAGAAGGGTGTGCCTGAGAAGTTCATTAACATCTTAACGGCCCTGTATACGAAAACCTCAGGCAGAGTGAGGACATACAACCACCTTTCTCACTTGTTCCATTCAAGCAGCGGGGTTAGGCAGGGTTGCCCAATCTCACCATTCCTCTTCAACTTTGCCATCGATGACATTCTGGAAACAGCTCTAATGAATCTAAGTAATGGCGGTGTGGATATGTTGCCTGGAGAACGACTTCTCGACCTCGAGTATGCGGATGATATTGTCTTACTGTGCGATAATGCCCAAGGCATGCAATCCGCACTTAATCAGTTGGCAATCAGTGTCCGCATGTACGGCATGTGCTTTGCACCCTCCAAGTGCAAAGTACTCCTACAAGACTGGCAGGATTCTCATCCTGTACTCACCCTGGATGGTGAGCAGATTGAAGTA